AGGAGTAAGGCATTCCTGAACATGCCACTAAGATACTCTGGATACACCTGTCCTGGAAAAGCAGATTCTGGTCTCTAAAATGCAATCATTCATAGTGTTGCACTGTTATGGTGGTCCCTGCCAAGCTTTTGCCCCACAGTTATCAGAGTCCCAGGCTGTTCCTTGGCACAGAGCAGGAGGCATCCCTCTCAGGCAGGGTGGATGTAAGCAGCTGATTTGGTGGAGTAAGGCAGTTTAACACTGTGGCTGCAGACTGACCCACACTGACTGGCTATAGGGCCAGAGAGCAGCCCCAGCAGTGTTGAATTGATTGGTGCAGCAGCAGGAGAAAAGACTGAGGGTGTTTCTTCCTAAGAAAAAAAGCCAACCTGTCACAAGGATGCTGTGACCTCCTGCCCCACCTCCCACACAGCCCTGGCCCAGTGACGAGGCAGCAAGCCCCCAGTGGCAGTGGGTCTGTGACCCACCTCTGCTTCACTGAGAGCAGAAGCATCAGCTGTCCTGTTGTCACAACAGCAGGCTCAAGGTTTCATCTGAAAATCTGCCTCTCAGTACCTGCTGGGTCTTTTTGGCCAGGCTCTTGATTTCTCTGATTTGCATAGCAGGTGACACAGACACAGATAGAAAGCCAGGTCTTAACAGCCAGGTGAAAAATGTACCTCCCAAGGAGGGAAGGGAACAGAGGCTTCTCATTCTTCTGACACAAGTAGATGTCAGGCGTCAGAAGAGACTGCTTCTCAGGTTGGGATTTGGCCTAGGAATAGTTCTCAGATAATTTTTTTTGGAGTACATGAATTTGGATGTTAGGCTGCAACAATAGGGAAGTTTCCCAGGGTCTGTCAGTGAAAAAATGCCATCTGTATAATTTCTGCAGCTTTCCTCCTTGACCCTCATAGTTCCAAGCTGAGTTTAATCTGTATCTCTACCTGAAAAATTGTTTTGCTGTAAGAGAACCTATCTACAGCAGAGATGACTACAGACCTTGATTGCAGATTCTGATCTGCAGGAGAAGGCTGATGGCACTGTGGCCATCCATGCCAACACTGTGTGTGGCATCCTCTCTGGGCCATGGACACACAGCTGTATCACATTCCCCCTGCACACACTGTGCACACAGATTCCCTCCCCCTTCCAGTTTGTCTCCTTGCTGCCAGTGCAGGGTTTGCATATCCTCTCTGAGATGATGGATGTTTCAATTGTGAGAGGGGGCTCTATTCCATGCAGGCATCTGAAAGTGCTCTGCAAAAATAGCTCACACCTCACAGACAAGCAGTCTGATGTGCAGAAATAGGAAATAGCCTTACTTGCCTCAAAGGGTGTTTACCCCACCACCATGGTATCCTCTCACAAGCACAAATGACCTTCTCCCTATTAGAGCAACCAGGAGGCCCCCATTTTCCTAAGGTCCTGGAAAGATTAAGTGACACAGGTCCAAGGTTGCACAGGAAGTCTGGAGGGAGTGCTGGAAATAGAAGGGGGCCCTCCTGAGTCCCTCTGCAGTGCCTTGACCACAAGACCATCCTTCCTCTCCCAAGGTTATGTATCAGGTCTGGGGTGGAGCCAGGAATAGCACCCAAGTTTCCTGACACACAAACTGTCCTGCACTGTGTACCAGAGAAGCGCAAATATAAATTTAAATCAATTTATAAAACTGTGTCTTGCAATTAAACCTAAGACTGCTATCTGAACCTAAAGTTTTCTATGTATTGAAAGATGTGACACTCTTAAGAAATCTCTGTCTACCACCAGGGCAGATAATACCTCCCAGCACCTAATCTCTCTTGCTTCTTCTAATTTCTTGACATGTCCGGTCTGTGCCAACAATGCAAGTGCCACCTGCCACAGAGACACAGGCTGGCAGAGGTGTGGGCTGAGGGGTGCCCTCTGGCCACCCAGTTGAGTACTGGCCCCAGACAAGGAGGGATGGATGCTGGGGGACAGAGAGAAGGAGATGTTGCAGGTTGAATCAGCAGTGCCACAGTGCCACAGTGCCAGCCTGAGGAGGGACCCCAGGCCTCCAAAGTCCTGGCTCCAGGGGGATGATGCCCAGGGCACAGGCCTGGCTGGACCAGCTGCAGGTTTCCTGTCCACCACCTGGAGAGCCACATGCTGCATCAGTGCCTGCGGCTTCCCTGGGGAGAGACGGAGATGTGCTGTGTCAGGAGGGCATGGTGCCACGTGTCCCTGCAGTTTGCTGGAACCTTTCCATTAACTTAATGGGCTTTGGATTGGGCCCTGAATTCTCAGCTGTCCCAGCTAAATGGACTCCCCAGGAGGGCTCTCCTCTCGTTTTAGAATTAGGAGGCCATTCAGGGACCCTGCTGACCAGGAGGTTCCTGCTGTTCTTTGGCAGCAGAGCTCCCGTCCTGGAGTGAGCACTGCCCCATCACTGCCCCTTGGCCACAGTGTGCTCCACCTGCACACATGGCTCCACACCTGCATCTGCCATCCTCTCTCCCAAGCAAGACATGCTCCACTTCCACCCCCTGCCTAGATCACCCATTTTTTTACCCAGTAAGGCCCAAGTGAGGTGAGGAGAACAGAACCAGTGCTCCACACTGCGTACCTCAACCCACTCTCGTCACTGAGAGACACTGCATGCACACATACTCAGGGCTGGGGGACTTGGTGATCCTGTAGAAGAAATAAATCCTGTGTGTGACTGTAGCCCTAACCTTGCTCAAGACAGAAATAGAAGAAGCCATTGGGCTGATCTGTGTAGCCATCATTTCAGGAGGTGTTTCAGAAAGACAGGACCATGTCCTTCCTTTTGCCTGTAGTTTTCTGTCACTCACAAAACGCAGCACTGCTGATCATTAGTACACTTGGACAAACTTATCTTTCCAAAGGTGTTTTATTTGTAAGCAAAGAGAGGTAGATACCAATGCTGTGCTGTTATGGATATATTTTCTGAAAAATCTTTTGCTAGGATTTTTTCTCCTGAGAAGCTGAGAAACCTCAAAAGAAAAGAAAAACAATAATTATCTGCTGCTGTAGAATGCAACAAGTGCATATTTAATTAATCTCATGTAGTTGTTTTTAATTAATAGCCAATCACATTCCAGCTGCCTCAGACTCTCTAGTCAGTCACAAGATTTTATTTCCATTCCTTTCCTTTCTAGCTTTCTGATGAAATACTTTCTTCTATTCTTTTAGTACAGTTTTAGTATATAATTTTCTTATAATATATATCATAAAATAATAAATCAACCGTCTAAAACATGAAGTCAAGATTCTCATCTCTTCCCTCATCCTAAAATCCCTGCGAACACCATCACACTGTGCATTTTCACAAGAGCAGAGCTGTGTGCTTTTCCAGACCTTTACCTGACAGTAAATTAAAGTAGGTCTTGCTGTAGCACTGAAGACTTGATGTTGCAGAAGTACTCAACCACTGATGGCCTTCCTTTTGTTACTGCTGTTTCTACAGAAGCAGCGTTAAGAAAGCCTAGCCAAGACCATGGCACTGACTGCAAAGTGCAGTACATCATGAGAGATGAGCCTGCTCCATGAAACTTGGGAAGAAAAGGAAATACAGAGAAATAAAGCGCTTTGGCCAAGGTTGAAAAACAAATGAGCAACAAAGATAACAGCAACACCTTCCAAGGCTCACTTCTCTGTCCAATCTGTGAAATTATGTTGCATTGCGCACCTGCTGCCATTCACACCATCATGCCTCATTTAATATAGGATGCATTGACTGATTATTGGCAGGTTGTTATGTCACTGCTCAAATTAAAACTGCTGTTGAGACTGTCATTGACAGGATGGTTTTCTCATGTCACTCTCCTTATGAAAACTTTCCTTTAAAGGACACTTTGGGATAGATGAAGATGATAACTTCATCAAGACACTTTGTGGGAAGTGAGCCTGTATGCCTTGTGTAAGGTTTCACTTTGCAAAAAGCTAAGCATATAAACAGGCAAGCCTGTGCAGTCAGTGTGAGTTTTCCACTGACCTCAGACAAAAGTGGAGTTCCAGTGGTTCATGTACTTATGCGCACTAAAATAAGGGGAATACATAAAGATCACCAGCTGCAATGATTGCTTCATTATATCTGCTATCCCTCTCTTTGTGTTTAGGATATCATCCCCCTCCCCTGAAGTGAATGGGGACAGAGGATTTTCACCATCTTCGCAAAGCTGCAGAAGGTGGCCCACAATTGAGTAAAAATGAGATTATTCCCTAGATTGTCCTTATTTTTCTGAAGTGGAAGAGCCCTTTGCCTGTTTCTGAAGGGTCTCTGCAGATTAACATGCAGCACAACATGAAGGCGAGCTCGTTAGAGCAAACTAAATTGGGGAAATTGCCTGAGCATTCAGAGCCAAGCCGGGGAATGGGATCACACTGTCCCACTATGAAGGCAGCAGGCACCAGGGGCAGAGCAGAAACCAAAGACACAGCTGGTACTTCAGTAAGTGTTTAGTCAGGGGAGTTGTGGCCATCAGTCAGTTCATTGTTAGAGTTCACTGTTATTTCCTGGAGAAGGAGATCTGGGGGAGCTCACAGCCCATAGGAGCACATCAAGGACCTGAGCTAGGAGCTCTCCCTTGCTGGTGTGTCCCAAACTCCCCTCTACTCCAGGCAAGTGTTTGAGCTTTCAAAAAATGAGGAGCTGAGTCATGACATGCTCCAGGTCTGGATTGCAATGGAGTGCACTCAAACCTTGCTCTTCCTCAGGAAGTGACTCCATATGTGTTTACATAAACACACAGCCCAACATGACGGGGCAAATATTACTCAAGGTTTTGCCATTTGCCTTTGGGGCAAGACTGAGCACAGCCATGGGGTCAAAAGGTCAGAAGGTTAGGAGGGGAAAGATGGAGGGTCTACAGACAACAAGTTGTTCCCCAATCTTTGTAATAAGTCTCAGTCCTACTCAATGCCCCCATGCGTCCACACAGGCCTGTCAGATGCCTGGTTGCAAAGTTCAGTCAGTTCATCATCAGATATGGAATAAACATAGCACTCTGGTTATCATTAATAATATTTATTTTGGAAAAATATTTTAAAAATGAATTTCTTCATTAACAAAACGGTAAAAAAAATCAAATAACATTTGCACAATATTCCATAAATACATTTATATACAAAAAAATATAGTCACATAGACCCGAAGTGCCTTTGTACATATTTACCAAAAATTTTAAATTATAAAAAAATGAACATCACAAAATACTCAAGCTTTACAATTATCATGAAAATATTTTTACAGATTCAAAAAAATAACACACTTTTTCTCACCTAGTAAAAACACATTTTAGTATCAAAAAAGACAATAAAGGCAGTGTTTGTGTCTCTAATTCAAGAAAAGACTGGCTCATAATAATCCAAAATATACACTTCAGGCAGTGCATGCTTCTTATGTAGTAATTAAGTCCATTCATTTAAATATATATAGAAAAGCAACTGACCATAGTGCAATGATAAAATTCATAAAAGGCAGTGCAACAGTAATCCTTGAACACAGACCCTTGCCTGGTGTCCATCTTGTTTCTTTATTTTGCAGTCACTTTGCTAACTTCAGTAGAGAACCAGCTCAAGCCTGAATTTAGTTTCTCAGCAGCAGTCAGTGAAGGAATCTATCTCCCATTCCTCTTTCAGCAGCATTCATTGGGGCACATCTCCTCTGAAATTGTTTTGAACAACCACCTTGCCATATGACCTCTGGTTTACACCTGGAAAGAGAAAACACAAGCAGAGATCAGGAGAGGTTAATGAAACATATGAAGAGGGCTGTAAGGCTGCAGAGGGTCAGGACTCTGCATAAAGCACACCAAGGAGTGAGTCAGCACACCTCAGCCATTGTACCCTAGTCTACAAAACTTGTCAAACCCACAACATGCACAGCAGCAAGTCACTGAGCTTGTCTTTACAACATCCACAGCATCATAAACTCAAGATGTCTGGATTTCAACAGGTACAAACCACTGTGTGGCATCATGGAAAAGAGTTTATGTGCCCTGGCATGTATTGGATGGGAGCTGCAGACTTTTCTCTGCTGTTCCAACCCTACTAACCTCAGTTGCTATGATGCACTCATCTTTCTCTTCTGATATGACATACACCGACTGGTACTTTGTGTCCTTTGAAGTGGAATATACTGAATCTGGTCGCTTTCTTTCAGAAGTATCACTATTGAAGGCAAAAAGAGAAAGAACAAGTCAGATGACTGTTGCTTAAGGCTACCTATGAGATATACACTCCCCCTTCAAAGCCAAGCTGCCCCCTGCCCTCAGATGTGAGATACCTCTTTAGTTGTACTGCACTTTTTTCCTCTGCCTCTGAATCGTATGTTTCACACTTGGCTTCACATTTGCTGTGCTCCTCCTTAACTGAGTCCTCATTCTTGAGTTCATGCACCAAATTGTAATCCACTGATGGGTATCTGACTTTGTAACCATTTTTATCAGAGTTATCGCTGTGAAAGTCTACTTTCTTATTTGTGTTTTTAATCTGAGTGGCACCAATGACACTTATGGAAATGTCCTTCTCGCGCTGGCAGTTTGCCAGGTTATTCATAGTCTCGGTCTCACTCCTGCAGGCATCAGGCTGGTGGTGCCTCTTCTGCACTCGGAGCCTGACGCACACCACCACGGCAGCACAGCCCAGCAGCAGCATGAGGACCAGAATAATCCCAGCGCAGACGGCGATCCAGGGGAACTGGGAGTTCTGGCCTTCCGTGTACTTTTCAGTGAAGTCCACGATGACGGGGCCCTGCGGCGGCTCAGGGAGCAGGAACTGGCAGTTGAGGCCGCCGTAGCCCCGGGCACACTCACACACGTAGCGGTTGTTCCTCTCGTGGCAGGTGGCCCCATTGTGGCAAGGGTTGTGCTCGCATCTGCTCACCGGGGTGCTGCAGTTCTTCCCGTTGTATCCTGGGGGGCAGGTGCAGGAGTAGTCATTGATGCCATCCTGGCAGGTCCCTCCGTTGACGCAGGGGAAAGAGGCACAGTCGTCCACGTTGTCATCGCAGTGCCTCCCAGTGAAGCCAGCCTGGCACTGGCAGATATAGGAGTTGCCCAGATCCACACACTGGGCTCCTGCAACACAGCAAGGGGGAAGAGCTGAGTGGTGGGCAGCCAGACACAACAGCCCCCCACTTGCTGCTCTTGAGGCAAAAGGTATAACCAGCAGCTGAGGAAAGGTCAGCTTGACCTTTGACAAGTCTAATCCAACATAAAAAGCACATGTTTTTAAGAAAGATTTTTGTTAAGCAGATTTATTTTTCATTCTCAATTGTATTCCTTTTTTAACATTTCATTCAGCTTGAACCAGAACACTAGTCCGGGTCAGATTAACACCACATCTCGTGTTACAGAGTTTGAGTGGCAATGAATAAGGAGGATTACAGTACAGAAAGTCTTCACTAGTTTAATCAAAACAGGAAAATTACTGTTACCAGATTACAAGTAATAATGTTTAGCACTTGTGTGGCATTTGCATCCACAGACCTCTAAGACTCTTTGTAAAGGATTTGAAAGTATAATCTTCCACGTTTTCATGCATGAAGCTTCAGACCAACTTACTTGGCCATAGCCCCCCCATCAGAAAATACAATCTGAAGCAACGGCCCAAGCCATGCCCCTGCTTTCTCAGTAGAGATCCTCCTCCATCAAGTCAACTATTGACATGAGAAGGACTTTTTTACAAGAGGATATAGTGGTAGGGCAAGGCAGAACGGTTTTAAACTGAAAGAGAGCAGGTTTAGATAAGATGCAATGAAAAAATTCTTTACTATGAGAGAACAAGTTGCCCAGAGAAGTGGTGGATGTTCCATCCCTGGCAGTGTTCAAGGCCAGATTCGATGGGGCTTTCAATAGCCTGGTCTAGTGAAAGGTGTCTTTGCCCATGGCAGGGGTTTGGAACTAGATGACCTTTAAGGTGCCTTCCAACCCAGACCATTCTATAACTCTATGACTGGTCAGTGTGCCTTGATCAGTGTGCCTCGTTATGAACTCCAGACCAGACACCAAAGTAAGGGTATGCTGTTTGGCCTTACCATTAGCACAAGGGCTGGAACTGCAGTAGTCGATTTTCTTTTCACAGTTGAAGCCAGAATAACCCAGTGGGCAGCGGCAGCTGTAGCCCCCGTCAGGGTTGTCGGTGCAGCGCCCGCCGTTGAAGCACGGCCCGTCCGCACACGTCATGGCGCTCAGCTCACAGTTCTTCCCATAGAAGCCTGGGGGGCAGGTACAGGAGTAGCTGTTCTCCAGATCCTGGGGGAAGGAAACGAGAAACTATCAAAACATTGTCTGAACTTGCTCTGAAATCCAAAAAGGGATTTTAAAAATTAGTAAAACTGACATTAACTCCACCCTTGGAGGAGTTTAGCAAACAACTTACGGTGCAGCTTCCACCATTCTTGCAAGGGTTGGCGTCACATTCATTGATTTCAATCTCGCAGTTGGAGCCTGTATAGCCAGGTCGGCACGAACAAGTGTAGCTCCCCTGACCAGTGTTGGTGCACGTGGCACCATTCTTGCAGGGCTTGTGGTGAGTGCAGTAGTTCAGGTCTGTAAAAGATATATTTTCTTTTTTTAAAGAGAGCAGCCAATATGCTTGCTACTTTGCAAGACTAGCAGACAGTGGGCGAGCTGAAAATAGTTGCCTGCTTTCTGCATTTTAAAACAGATGCTCTGGCAAGGACTGAGAACTCACCCTGGTTGCAGAAGAGGCCACCCCAGCCTTCCTGGCAGTTGCACTGCCACGGCTGCTGACAGGTACCATGAAGGCAGCCTGGGTATCGGATGCACTCATCACAGTATCGCCCCTGCCAGCCCACTCTGCACCTGAAAAAAAAGATGACAAAAAATTCTCTTCAGATTTAGAATTCTCCCAGTTGGAAAGCCTATCACAAACTCTGCAAGCACACCGATGCCAGGGATGAAGTTTCCTAAAAGCCCTCGGTGATCCTTCATGTGAGAAAGTCACCAAGTCCGACCGTAGCATCAGCTTTCATCAGCCCTAGCTATTTCTTCCACTTCCTTAGGTAGACCCATGGTTCTGATAGTTAATTTGCTTACTCTAATAACAAAGAGCCAAATCCTACACACAGCACTGTAAACCCATTAGGTTAATATTAATGGCAGTGATGTTTGACTTATGGAATAATACTTTGATCTGGCATCAACTGGATATTTCAAATTTCCATCTAATATGATGAAAGGCCTTTAAACCAACCCTTCAAATGTCCAATGGCTTATTTAACACCAGAGCATCAACACTGAAAGACAAAGAAGGAAGCAGGAAGGGAGTGGAAAACTTACTTGCATTCCCCCGGCTTGTCGCATAAGCCGTGCTGCTCGTCACATCCAGGCAAACAAATCGCTGTAAACAAACCAAGCAGGGAAAGACATCAGCACTGGTGCCAAAACAATTCTCTTTTACAAGTCTGAGTCTGGGAGCACCTTGTGGGTGGGGAGTGAGTCCCTTTTACTGGGTTGGGGCAGTTAAGCGCAGCTGAATTAATCTCTGGAGTCTGAAGGAGTATTGATCTTGCCCCGTAACTGGGCACTTTACTTATCACCAGGGATGAGCATTCTTCTTAATACAGTTGCACACAGACAAAAGAGGGCTCACAATTGCTCCCTTCCCCACAGCCCCTCACCCCCCTTCCCTTCCCAGTGAGGGTCAGAAGTCCTTTTTTCCAATTCTATGCACACAGCTCCACCTCTTAATATCCCCCGAAAGTGTGTGTGCAGATAAGAGTGGACAGCTGGTGTGCAGGGTGCCAGTGCAAGACAGCTGCTCTATTGTCTATTCTCTCCCAGCAGCTGCCCCACTGCAACAATACCCCGGCCCCGGAGCCAATGGGGCCGGCGGCCGGCCACCGGGCAGCCTATCCCTGCCCACAGCTAATCTATGGCACGCGCGTGATTTCGCTGCAAAAAAACTTTTTTTTTTTCTTATTCAAATAAATAAGTCTAAAGTTCTTCCTCCCTCCCTCCTTCCCCCCTCTGCCCTGCTCCGAAAAGGGGCGGGTGGGTGGGTGCAGCCCTGGTAAAAGAGGTAAGCGGGCCAGCGGGAGGGAGGATGAGAGAAGGGAAAAAAGGGACTTCTGCTCATTACTTTGCCTGGTTATGGAACTCATTAAGCAGGCACTGCAAAGTTTTAATTCAACAAAGCCAGCCGGAGACAATGGCATGCGAGGGGAAGGAGGGGGGAAGAAAAAGAAAGAAAGAATCAGTGCTGATAATCAGATCGCCTCCAAGTTGGAAAGAATGGAGCTGGGGGCAAGGCAACGGGAAGCAATCTGCGACTGGCAGCTCCACTCACTAACGGCAAAACATTCTTTTTGCATGCACACATAAACACATATCCCCTGCCTAGTAGGTTTGTGTCAGTGCTATAAGCTGGTTTTTTTTTTCTGAGAGGGAAAACACAGCAGAGAACGTACGTCAAGAAAGTAAGTCAACGTAAGTCAAGAAAGATGGACAGCCTTCTGCTTCGCTGTCGGAATAGCAGAGATGTACAGGCATTCAAAAGTGCTGACAGCCCCAAAAGAGCTCATTATCAAAATGCTTCCTTTTTCCCCACCCCTTGACACAACTGGGCTAGGCACTTTTGATCATAGGAAAGGTTGTAACTCTCATTTAAAACACTATCAAAGAAAATGCAAGCCCCTTTGCCTGCTGTTTATTGTACAACATCTTACCGTGAACTCCTAAAAGCATCCTAGCACTCACTAACAGTGTGAATAATCAATCAGGAATGGTTTGATAGCAGCTCAGCTGAGACCACAGTGTAGGTGGGTTTAAAGAGAAACAAAAACACAACAAGAAGAAAGCTGAGAGGCTGCTTTGCAGCCTGGAACTGTTTTCTTCCTGCCTGCCTGGCCCTTGGATGACGGCAGAGGAGCACTGGCTCAGTACGTCATCTGCCAGCGTATTTCAGACCCATGTATACACACAAACAGGGAATGCCGTCACAGGCTGCAGCAGGGGCTCTGTGTGCACATTTGGGTGTACACTGCTATGGATCTACAAAGGGCGGAATCTCATACAACTGGAAAGTATCTGACATCCTGGACTATCCTGTCTGTGATCTGCTTACTGTCCCAGCTTTTCCTGCTGTACCAACACACCACATTCCTCAAAAACTTCAAGCTCTGGGGTATGTTTCATGTCCCTCACTACTTTATTGATATTAATTATCATGGCAATGGGACAGAAGAGAGATGAGGAATAAGTTGAACGTTCTCGTGGCCCCATGTGCAGAAATTGTTAGTGGCAGCATATAAGTACCCCAAATGAGAAATGTGCAGTCTAAAAGCCATAGAGAATGTCTTGGAATTCCCGATATTTTTCTTAATACAAGACCACAGAGGATCAGACCATAGCAAGCCTACCCACAAGGCTGTCACATGGATATTGCCAAAGCCTAGCTCCCTCCCCTGAAACTATGTACCCTGTAGGTGATGATATCAAAGTTGTGTGGCTGGAGGGTGGATAGGTATAAAAAGTAGTCCTGATATATTTTAATAAATCCTCAAGCAACTGCTGAACATTTTGCTTCCAGATTAAATGATCTAAAGCAAATGAGCAAGAGTGTAGTGTTGGCACTGACATTTTGTTGGCTTGAGAAGGGGCTGTCTGCATTAACTTTCTGTGGCAATGCTGACATCTCCCATCCCTCACACTGGTAAGGCTTGGGCACAGAACCAGACATCCATCCGCCATTGCTTGGTTCTCCCTCCCCATGGGGCCTGATGTCAGAGAATCAGCCCTCCACCAACCCCAAGTGCTCAGGAGACACTGCTGCAAGGGGCACCCAAGGAGACAAGGAGGTGACACTTACGCTCAGTGCAGTACTGGCCTTTCCAGCCCGGGTTGCAGACTTTCTCGCCACGCTCTCCACAGGTGAAGTGACCAAAGGCATCATCCCGGGGCCGGCAGAAGACAGAGCAGCCTTCTCCGTAGTAGTGCTCGTCGCACACGAAGCGATAGGAGTACTTGAGGTCGGTGCGGCCGCTGCTGTGCAGGTCCTGGGACCACTCTTCACCCACTGCCAAGTGTCTCTGGGTGGCCAGGCGGCTGATGAGGCGCTCAGGGTTTTCTGTGGGGAAGTGGAGAGGAGAGTGGTTAGAGAGCCCAAAGCAGGCAGGGCACAGGGGGTCTCTGGTGGGAGGGGAGCTACAGAGGCAGGATGACATGGCTGCATGCCAACAGGTTGGCCTCTGTTGCCACAGCTCTACTGTGGAGGAGAATGTGCTACACACTGAGAGAAAAGGGACAAAATAGGGTTGCAGGACTGGGATTATTACAGGGAAAAGTGTGTTTCAGGACACTTACCAGTGGTGAGGTCATCAGGTGAGTCCGTATGCAGAGCCTCAATGATGAGCGAGAAGGTGCCCTGTGAAAAGAAGGAGACACAACCGACCAGGAGCGCATGAGAGCAGGTAGGCCCAAGGGACAGTGCCACCATTCCCCAGGAGTCAGCAGTCATTATCCCCCTCCCATCTTCACACTTCAAGGGGATTGGTGGCCTCTTGGAATGGCACGGGACGGGACGGGATGGATATGTGCCGCCCCTCCAGCATCGCCCCCCACTTACGGGCCAGGTGAAGCCGAAGGGGAAGCGGATGGGATTGCTGAAGGCGGGGTCGGCACCGCCCGCGCCGTCGGGGACGCTGAAGGAGTTGGCGCCGAGCACGGGGGTGATGGCGC